AGTATATACGCACAATGGAATACTACTCAGCCATAAAGAGAAATGAAGTCCCGATGCATGCCACAACATGTATGAACATTGAAAACACCATGCTGAGCAAAATAAGTCAGTTGGAAAAGGGCAAATACAAATACTGTATCATCTCACTTATATGAAATGAGCAAATATATAGAAAACAAAGTTTATTAGTGGTTAGCAGGGGTGGGGGAGAGGGGAAATGGAGGAATTTATGCCTAGGGGGCATTATGTTAATGGTGGTGGAATGACTTGGAAAAGGATAGTGAGAATGGATGTACAACTTAAGGAATGTAATCAATGTCACTGAATTGTACACATCAAAATTACTGAGTTGCTGTACATTTTGTTATATATATATATTTGCCACATTAAAAAAAAACTGCTGCATCTCAAGAAACCTGTTTTTGCTAATTCGTTTTCATACACTAGTGCAGAATGCATTTTGGTGATATTTAAATCTTTAGGAAGGTAGAAATAGGAGATGGAAAACATTTTCCTCCCCTTCTTTCCATCTGATTCCATCAAATAACACTAATTAAACGCCTGGTCGACATTAGCACTTTTCTCTGTCTCCACTTCATCAATACAAGTTAGAAAGTAAAACCAAAATATGTACTTCGCAAAGGCAAGTTCCAGTAAGGAAGCCAGGCTGCATAAGGCCTGGGGCCCTGCCTTCAGCCTGAGGAGCAAAGCTATCTAACAGGCAAGAAGGAAAAGGATATTAGGTAACTTTCCTCAACCAGAACTTCACAAAGCAACTTCACCAGGTTTTCAAGAGTTGTGAATTTAATGAACATACAAGCCACTTGAAGGAAAAACATATTCTTATCTTGTCTGTTAATTTAGATAGATACTACTCTTATACACCCTAAATCCATACTCCAAATCCATCATAAAAACTAGTATAGAGGGGCTACATGAGAGTCTTCTCCTAGAACTTGGAATAAGATTACCCTCTGAAAGTAAGATTTACAAAGGGAAATAGGAATAATAAGCCATTTGTAGAAGCAACTTGCCGTACAAAATGGGCTGAAAGAATCTGTCTAAAAAAATTAGAGAATACCCACGAACAATTAGGGTAACTGGGGTGTATCCTCAGGACACCAAAGTAACTTCTCCATGGCAAACTCCTACAGAGCAGAAGACCATTTAATATACTCTTCATCTTAGTACCTGGCACACAGACGGGTCTCAATAAAAGATGACTATAATCCAACAGGAGCCCTGATGGTGCAGTGGTTAAGAGCTCGGCTGCTAACCAAAAGGTCAGCAGTTCGAATCCACCAGCCACTCCTTGGAAACCCTATGAGGCAGTTCTACTCTGTCCTACAAGGTCACTGTGAGTCGGAACCGACTCAACAGCCCTAACAACAACATAAACCGTCAAGAAGCTTAAACCCCTCACAATGCTGTTACGTTCAGCCCAGTAACTGCAAAAACATCTTATTTTACTTACTCAATTCTGTACCAAGAATTTACTTCTTCATGTCCCTGTGTGCCTGAGTTTGTTCCACCTTCACTCTATTCTTCTATTTCTACAGACCAGACCCAGATATGTTCAAATTTTACAAGACGCACTAAGCCAAGACTTTCTCTGGTTCAGCGGTTCTCAACTTTGGTTGAAAGCAGAATCACCTAAAAAGCTTTTAAAATATATGACACCCAGGCTGTGCCCTAGAACAATTAAATCAGAATCTCCAGGAAGAGATGAGACCCAGTCATCAGTATTTTTTAAAAAATCCTCAGGTTATTTCAATGTTCAGCCAACATTGTGAATCACTGTTCAGTTACTTACTGGTAACAGGAAAGCATTGCCCAAATCACCTCACAATTCAGCCGGGGACTGACAGCCTCCTAAAACAAAACAGGACTAATGAGGCACAGCAGTCCAGGGACAAGGACTAGAAGACAGGAGGGGACAAGAAAGCTGGTGATAGGGACCCCAAGGTTGGGAAGGGACAGTGTTGACATGTCATGGGGTTCTTAACCATTGTCATAGGGCAACATGTGTACTAACTGTTTAATGAGAAACTATTTTGTCCTGTAAAGCCTCCTGCCCAAAGGTGCTCAGCTTTCTTGCTCCATGGGCCAACCCCTGCTGGTCTCCTGGTTCTACTGCTGCTGGTTCTCTACCATGCTTGCTGCCACTTCTTGCTGTCTTACACAGTCTCCAGTGTTACAGCTCTCTGTCTCCTGGTCTAGGGGGTTCTCAGCACAGGGACCCTTGGTCCAAAGGACACACTCTGCTCCCAGCTCTTCTCGTTGGTGGTAGTAAGATCCCCTCTTTCCACCTCTGGGATGGCTCATTTTAAGCCTAGCGGGATGCCAAAACTGACCAATCCCCTCGTTAGGGTTCCATACCCCTTATTTGCATGGCCCCACCCCCAGAAGGGTGCCATGCACCTTATTTGCATATTAGCAAGCTGTCCAATCCCCTCGGTGGGCCACAAGCATCTTATCTGCATAGTCTCACCCAATCGTTGTGTAGGATTCACAAAGACTATGGCTAGAAGGGCCATATTAAGTAATTCACTGCACTGCAGAAAGGCAGTATGGTATAATGCAGACATGGGAAACGTGGTAAAAGTGCTACCACTTTCCCTCTGAAACTCACAGCAGACATTGCTTATCCATCACAATTGCAAAATCATTCCAGCATAGGTACCCCTACAAATCAACTGGAGATTAACCTATTTGATAGAAAGGACATGAGCCTTATAGCATAAGACAAGCAACAACTGAAAACCAAAACAATAACGAAACACTTGGGTTTAAGCCTCAGCTTTGTCACTTTCTAGCTGTGAGATCTTGGTTTCATTCCTAAATTATCAATAACGATGACTATCTTGCATCTGGTGCAGGGCTTGTAGCTAATGCCGGGCACATAACCTTATAGCTCAGTGGCTCTTTACTGCAGTCCCAGGAGCTACCTCTCCTTTATCTTTCCTCACCTCACCTTCGGAACACCCCACAGCACAATGAACTATATTTTAGAGTTCTTGGTTAAGGATAATTGAAGAGCATCAGCAGTTCACTTTGTTTAGCCTCAAATTCCCTAAGTCACCCTTTCCATTTTTTGCCAGCCCCTTAATTCCAAGTCAGAGTTCTTAAGTATGGCTGCTGAATATGGGGATGAGTCTTCAACTTTGGAAACAGACATTTACCTTGGGTCAATAATGATTTGTATTACATTTGCTAAGTTATAAACATTGGATTGATTTTAGGGTGTGACTTTCCCTAAGTTCTTTGTACTTAAGGCCATGCTGAAAGACTCTGTAATCTTTACCTCTGTGAGGTGTTATATAAACAAATGGAAAGCCTAAATGTTTTGGCTGGAGTACACCACACAACATAAAGAATCTGAAATCAGAAAGTTAAAATGTGTTCAAGTCCCTACCATCAGCCTCTACTTCTGCTAGGACAGCAGTATTGTTTTGAATCCAACATATTCAGCTTATTCATTAGCTTTGGGAATAAAAATGTCAGCAGAACATATTTCTGGAGAATATATTATTAAATAAAACAATGCTAAAGTCAAAAATACCCACAAACCCCAGAAGTTGTGAATCCACTAGTTTAAAATGTGCTTGACTTCTAAAGCATTCTTTAACAAACTATTCAGATAACATGATCAGAAGTGATGGTATGCTACCGAACCCTCTACATGAACAAAATACTAAAATATGTGTTTATTCAGGCTTCAATGGTTAGTGCTTATCAACTGAACCAATTAAATACAGATTACACTGTCAGGGTCAAAGTCGTGTGCTTGCCTGGGGTGCAATGCTAAGTAAAAACAGATGCTTATTAAATGCCTTTGATCATGTAGATGATTGTTTGCAAAATCAATTAAAATATCTTTCCCTTGCTATGACTGCAATTTCCTCTTTTTAAGCTAAATTTACCCTTAAACTGTTTTGCTTTCATTTGCACTACTGTTTTTACTAGTATAAAAACACCTCAGTTTTTTTTTTTCTTGCCAGGCCTTCAATGTGCTTTCACAGTTCATTTCATTTGCCACATTATTACTTCATATACAGGAAAAAAGGAGTCTTGGTGGCACAGTGGTTAAAGTGCATGGCTGCTAACCAAAAGGTCAGCCGCTCAGTGGGAGGAAGGTGTGGCAGTCTGCTTTAGTAAAGATTTACAGCTTTGGAAACCCTATGGTGCAGTTGTATTCTGTTGCTATGAATCGGAGTCAGAATCAACTTGAAGGCAGTGGGTTTGTCTTGGGTTTTTTATACAGGAAAAAGTTTGCTTCCCCAAAGAATGTCCCTTTGCCTTTGAAACCTTTTTATTCTTGGGTTGCCCAAATGGTAAAGTCGATTCAGTAAAGAACTGAGATCGTATCTTTTACACAATGTGACATGATGTCACAAGGGCATAACCTCATGCTAGAGTGGCTTCCCTCTATCACAACTGGGTGCATCTGTAGGATGCAAATAACACTGCACCACGACGTCCTCACAAGGTGTTGGGAAAACGTTTCAGCTCCCACAGCAATTCCTAGGTTCTCCCCCTGAATTTGTCAATGATTATGCACACACGCCCCACAAGTTTCCTCAAGGTGCGCGGCGCTCTGGTGGGTTCACAGCTCTGAAATCCCACGACTGAGGCATCATCACACTGATGACCATTCCTGCAATGTGCTGACCTAGGACAAGGTGCTGGACACAAGAACCACGTCCGACATGCTTGGGATCACAGAGACCCTTCTTCTTTAAGAACATGCCCCTGCAACCTGGGCCCACCAAAATGCACCTCACGACCAGCTCAGCAGGGCGTGTCACCGATCTCCCAAATGAATGTTATCAGATGCACCCATTTAGTCCCAAAGAGCCGTGACTAGTAACTACCTTAACCGCCATTGTCTCAGATGAACCTCGGCTCTGGCGGTCCTTGCTCTTTTGCCAGTCACTCAATTCCTCGTGCCCCGAGCCCCGAGCCTCGAGCTTGTATCCTCCTCTCCGCTCCCCACGTACCCACATCGCCCAAGAAAGAGCCGTCCGCGGCCCGCAGCTCCATGCCGCTTGCTGGCAGGGAAGAGTCTCAGCTCCGTGTCCCGGCGACTCTGGGTGTCAAGGACCTGGGCCGAGGACCGCGCCAGACACGGCTGGGCGGGTGCCAGGCGCCACCGCCGACCAATAGCGCGCTCGGGGCTGGGCGCCCGGCGGAGGTACGCCCGTGCGCGCTGGGAATTGTAGTTTCTTGCAGCTGGTCCGTTTCCCAGCCTGCAACGAAGCGCCGCGTCACTGTTACGAAATGTCCGGACTCCGCCAAGGGAGTGTGTATGTTTTTACGTTCAAGAGGCACTTCCTACGGGAGTTGGTGTTAATCCTCTTTCTTTACTCTTTCGAGATAAATCATAAATTTCAAATATTTGATGTTCACTTTAAAAAAACTCACGTCCGAGTTACCTCCGAGGTTCACTGTTCAGCCTGGCAGTGGACAGCCCCGTAAAACCAGATGAGACTAACGAGGTACAGGAGTCTAGTGACAAGGGCCAGAAAGCAGAAGAGGACAAGGAAGCTGGTGATAGGGAACCCAAGGTTGAGTAAGGATATTGTTGATGTGTTGTGAGATTGTTAACCATTGTAATAGGGCAACATTTGTAGTAACTGTTAAATGAGAAACTATTTTGTTCTGTAAGCCTTCATCTTAAGTGAGAATAACAGCACAATTCGAAGAGCGTAGTCAATGTCACTGAACTGTGTGTGTAGAAATTTTTGAAATGGTGTATCTTTGGCTATGTGTATTTTCACCAAAAAAAAAAAAAGGTTGAGAAGTTAGAGGGTTGATATGTTGTGGGGTTGTTAACTAATGTCATAAAACAACATGTGTACTTTTGTTTCATGAGAAACTATTTGTTCCGTAAGCCTTCACCTGAAGTACAATTAAAAAAAAATAAAAAAAAAAAAACTCACCTCCAAATCTTTAGTGACAGTTTTAAAATTCAATGTTTCCCGTAAAGTTCTTTGCAGATTAAAGCCGGGGCACAGCGTGGCAGAAATTCCTGTTCCCGAACAACTGAATATGAGTGTTCACAAAGTGGCTTACAAAATTCAGAAGGCTTGACCTGGAGTTCTGCTCCAATAAAGATTACAGCCTAGAAAACCCTATGGGGCAGTTCTACTCTGTCATATTGGGTCGCTATGAGAAATCGACTGGAAGGCACCAACAACAGAACAACCTTGCTGAAGTTCGCGCAGCCTTTTCACGAGATTCCTCACCCACCCTGATCGGTGCTTAGCGCAAATGCAGACATTAGTTTGGGCTCAAAATTAAAAATATCAGGAATCATCCGGTCTGGAAATGGGTAAAGACTAAGACAGCAGACAGTTTTCATCTCTCACCCCTTGCGCGGCTTCTCCGACTCGAGTTTTCATCTTCAATCCAGACCACCGGCACTGTATTTAGGAGGTGTTTGAACTGTATCTGTTGGAATCCGAAACTTCGTGGGACTTCAGAGCCCCATGCCTGGACATAAACTTTCAAAGCTATTAGCAATGTACTCTTGTACCTTTTGCCACTTGTCTACCAATATTAGGCTCTTGAAAGTTTTCTTGCATTTTTTACTAAATTTAATAGATTTTTGTATTGATATATTTGCTGTGGGATGGTAGATTTTCTCCTGTGACAAAGCTGTGCGTGTAGCTTTCTTCACTATTTCTTCCTTGACAAATTATCATCTAGTATCTGAGTATGGATCATACAGACCATAGAATATATATTCATCTATGGGTATTCATATATATATCCGTATATGTATATAATCATATGTGTATATATATATATATATATATATATATATGTATGTATGTAAGGAGTTCTGATGGCACAGTAGTTACGGCCTCTGCTTCTAACCGAAAGAAAGTTTGGCGGTTTGAACCTACCAGACAGTCAGCAGGAGAAAGATGTGGCAGTCCGTTTCTACAAAAGTTTATAGCCTTGGAAACCCTATGGAGCAGCTCTACCCTGTCCTATAAATTCGTTGTGAATCGGAATCGACAGAACAACAGTGGTTTTTATCAGGGCCCAATTAAGGCATTTGAGGGCCCTAAAAACTGATAATCTATGGTGCCCCTCTTTTGCTGATTCTCGCATTCAAACAAGTTAGATATACACATGTATAGATACACATATGTGTGTGTCTTAGTTATCCATAATGTAACTTTTAAAATTCAACTATAATATTAGTGATTAAATGCAAAGTGGCATATGTCATTTTAGCAGACCAGATGAACTGGTTTATAAAATTTTTGGTGGATATGGGAATACTAAGATTTTTACTATATACCACATTTTCTTCAAAAAGAACATTCCACATATTCTACAACAAAAATTAGTCAGTTAATTTAGTAATTTCAACATCAATATAAAACTCTGTTGCTCTCCCACAATGAAAAATTGACTTTCACCAGTGTTGCTTTAAATAGTTCATACTTCAATTTTGATGCTTGTTTCATAATGTTACAATGATAAATGACAAATGAAAAGGTGTCATAAAACAAAATTTAATGATCAGAAAACAAATATTACAAAAAATTACTACATTTTATTTTTAGATCTTTCATCTCTAATATGTTATAATTAAAAACATTTCTTTCTATTCTTTGCTGTTACAAATTCTTCAATGGTTTCATCACAATGAAGCTGCCAAACAATATCTACTTCCATACATAACAAGGATAATGAGTCAAGTCTTTCCTGAATCATTGTTGTGTGCTCACTTTTTCTTGTGTCCTCTATGTTTGGCATCTACGGGTCTTTGCTAGGGACAACTGGTGCCTCTGTTTTGTTGATGCCCTAAGCAGGTGTTTACCTTGCTTATTGGGTAATCTATCCCTTGTTTATATAATTGTAACTATGTACTTGTTGCCTCTAGTCGATTCCAACTCATAGCAACCCTATAGGACAGAGTAGAACTGCCCCATAAGGTTTCCAAGGAGATATATGTGTGTGTGTGTGTGTGTGTGTGTGTGTAGGCAAGTATGTTAGAAAGCAAATATTTGTTTATTACATTGTAATTTTTCTCAGTTATGTTACTTGATTTCAGTATCTTGTGAAAAAGACTTTCTAAGTTTTTATATATTGAGAAATATATTTTCTAAGGATATTTCCTCTTTCAATATTCAGCATGTTATTTCCCCAGCAAGAGCTAGAATATGTATATTATTCTGTTGTTGTTAACTTTGACCCATATGGAATTCATTGCAATGTATAGGATGAAATTTGGATGCAGGTTAATTCTTCTCTAAACTGAAATAGAACTGTTCCCAAAATATCAATTAAATAGAAATAATCATGTATCTATTTTTGTGTTAATCTCATTTTATTGCATATTAGGTTCCAATTATCTTTTGAATCTACTGCATGAATCTCTATTATATTAATAAAAGTTTTGTTATTCATTTAGCAAATTTTTACTGATTAACTCACCATGAGTAGGAATCGACTCCACAGCAACTAACAACAATCCTTATACTAAGGTAGGTAATTCTTAAAACTAACAACTACATTTTTTTTTATGACTGTCATTTATAAGATCATAACTTTTTTGTAAGAGTTTTAAAATCTGTTAAGACAGCTATTTGGAAAGTGGTGTATTTAGGGACTCCTAAAAGTTAACATCTTGTAAATGACAGTTATAGTCATGGAGGAACCCTGGTGGCACAGTGTTTAAGAGCTTGGCTGCTAACCAGAAGGTCAGCTGTTCAAATCCACCAGCCGCTCCTTGGAAACCCTATGGGAGTAGTTCTACTCTGTCCTATAGGGTCGCTATGAGTGGGGATCGACTCCATGGCAATGGGTATGGGTAGACATCATGCGTGGCGCAGGACCCAGCAGTGTTTTGTTCTGTTGTAGTTAGGGTCGCTGTGAGTCGGAACCAATTCCACGGCACCTAACAAGAGACATCATTGGAGCCCTGGTAGCACAGTGGTTAAGAGCTTAGCTGCTAACCAAAGGGTTGGCTGCTTGAATCCACCAGCCGCTCCTTGGAAACCCCATGGGACAGTTCTACTCTGTCCTATTGGGTCGCTTTGAGTTGGAATCGACGCAACGGGAACAGGATTTTGTTTTTTGTTTTGGTTTAGACATCGTGAATCAAGATGTCTTAAGAGTTAGGTATATAATAAGAACAGATTGCCTACCGAATAACAAGGCTTTCTATGAAGCTACAGCAATTAAAGTAGCATGATAATCTGGAATATAAAAGAGATCCCTTCAGAAACAGATTCACTTACATGAGGGAGCGTGGTGTTCAATAGAAGAGGTATTACAAATCAATTGGAAAGGAGAATAAATTGTACTGGGCCAAATATCTATCTATATGAAAAAAGAAAAAATTTGCTTCCTATCTCACATCCAAAACCAATCAAACCCACTGCCCTCCAGTTGATTCTAACTCATAGCAACCCTATAGGACAGAGTAGAACTGCCCCATAGGGTTACCAAGGCTGTAAGCTTTACTGAAGCAGACTGCCACATCTTTCTCCCATGGAGTGGCTAGTGGGTTAGCACTTCCGACCCTTTGGTTAGCAGCCGAGCACTTTAATCCCTGCACCACCAGGGCTCCTTTACCTTATATCACGCATAAAAATTAATTCCTGATGGATTAAAGAACCCTAAAGGGTGTAAAGCAAAAATGTGACTAAAATAAGAAAAAAATTGTTATGACATCATATTAAAGAAGGATTTCTTTTTTTTGGTTATTGTTGTAGTTCAAGTGAAAGTTTACATTTCAAGTTAGTTTCTCATACAAAATTTATACATACATTGTTATGTGACCCTAATTGCTTTCCCTATCCTGTGACAGCACACTCCTCCTTTCCACCCCTGACTTCCCATGTCCTAAAGATGGATTTCTTAAGAGACAAAAAAGCACGAACCATATTGGAAAAGGTTGATCAATTTGACTATACTAAAATAAAAAGCTCTTGTAAGACAAAAGACCCTATAAATCAAGTGAGAAGATAAGTCACACACTGGAAGAAGATAGTTGCAATCCCTGTAACCAACAAAAGAATAATCTCCAGTTTGATATAAAATTCTATAAATCA